TTTGGTGGGAAAAGCTAAAGACCTTGTAAAACTACAAGCCCTATGCTTCCATAGCACTGAGCCATGGCAGTTAAAGTAATGTTAAACTGCATTAATTCTACAGTGTAAATTATCCATGATGGTAAATTACAATAACCTACTCATTGGTGGCACAGTGGGTTAAACTGCTGAACTGCTGAACTTACTGACTGAAAGGTCAGCAGTTCAAATCCTGAGCTTCTGCCAATCTAGCAGATTGAAAACATGCAAATGTGAGTAGATCAATAGGTACAGCTTCTGTGGAAAGGTAACAGTGCTCCATGCAGTCATGCTGGCTATATGACCTTGGAGGGATCTACAGACAACATCAGTTCTTTGGCTTAGAAATGGAGATGAACGTCACCTTCCAGAGTCGGACATGACTAAACGTTATATCAGGGGAAACTTTTACTTTTACTTTACTCTCAGTACATCTTCCATATACAACCCTAATTGCTACTCTGATGCCAAATATTCCCCGGCTTCAAAATAAAACTTTTCTTCAGCCTATAAATATAAGCAGCACTTCCAAAGGCGTCCAGCAGTTTTGGGGTTTAAATAACTCAGAAGCAACAAAATTGTGGCCACAATATTGTTTGTGGTTCTTTTAAAAATGCTCACATGCATTTTTAAATGAAGTTAGGAGATTTTTTTATTAGAGGTTAGGAGATTGGAGGTTAGTGAAATAAGTGACATGTCATGCCTGATTCCCCCCCCCCCCCCGTAGTAAACCCAGCTCTTTGGTAAAATGCAATTCACCATTAGCTGTCATTCATTGCCCAAGAGAGCTAACATGGTGCAGTGGTTTGAAGGATCTATTACAGTCTGGATGGCCATCTGTTGAAGTGCTTTGATTGTGTTTTTCCTGCATGGCAGGGGGCTGGATTATGATCTCTATTATTCTATGATTCGAAGTATGCCTGAGGGAGCTGTGTCAGCTTCTTGCATAAGACATTCTCCATTTGACAAAATTATGTGTTATATTGTTGGCTGAAAATAGTGAAAAGGGATGAAAGTTAATTTGATTTTGCAATAACAAACTAGGTTGAAGAAAATAGGTGGCAGAAGTTCAACACCACCAGCTGTTTTCAAATGACTGTCAGGGAAGTGAAAAATTGAGGTTCAGTGTCCTTTCGTCCTGGGAAAGAAGTGTAAACACTTTGATCCCACGTATGATTTCAAGGTCTGTGCATTTGCAGCATGCATTTGTGGAGCACGAAGGAAAGGAGGGTTGAAATTTCCAATAAATGAAAGCTAGAGAGAAGACCAGCAATCTGGGCTTCTTTTTCAAACTGTGGACATTTTTCTTTGCAGTTTCACAGATTACTTAATCCCAGATTCCATTTTCAAAAGTAGGAGCCATGACAGCAGACTGCCGACCCCACAATTGGGGTAAACTGGAATGGTACACATGTTCAACCAATGATTTGAAAAGTTACGTTTCTAGACTGCAGCCCCTAGTATCCTCCAAGCCCTTTTTGTGGTTCAAAAAAAGCAACACTCCCAAGATCTGTGCTCAAGAACATTATCCAAGGACATCCTCAGCATTGGTTCCTACTGTTTTAGAAACTAAACAAGTAGAGAGAGAAATGGTTATTTGATGCCCAACCAGCATGTGTGCTACCTGCTGCACAGGTGTCAAAGGATTAAGCATCCAACCTGGAGAAAGCATATACAGTGTTCCCTCACTTATTGTTTGTGTTATGTTCCAGGACCACCTGCGAAAAGTCAAATTCTGCAAAGTAGGGACGCTATATATGTATATCGAGTTCTGAGGGTGAGGCAGAATCAGAACACCTCTCTGGGCAATGGCAACCATTCATAAACTGGGAGGCAAAAACCCGCAAAACAGCGAGTCCGTGAAAAGCAAACTGTGAAGTAGCAAGGGAACACTGTAGTTTCAAATAGTGAAATAACTCATTTGCTCCTTCCTCCATTTCATAACATGTGGACTCAGAGCATAGAGTATTTCCACTGCTCTATATATTCCCGCTTGACATAGGAACACATGAATGATAATGCACACCTATCTAGTCCACCTACTCCAACCCTCTTTCATTCAAGAATATACAGTTAAAGTGCTCCTGCAAGATGCCCATTCAACCTCTGTTGAAAGACATCCAAAGGAGAATCTAATCTCAACACCAATCTATTCCACTACTAAACAGCTGTTACAATAAAAAAGTGCTTCCTGATGTTTAAGTGGAAACTCTTTTTTTATATACTATTTTTTCATGTCAGGATCAACTTGGGAAATTGCAAGTTGCTTCTGGTATGAGAGAATTGGCTGTCTTCAAGGATGTTGCCCAGGGTGGCCTGGATGTTTTACCACCCTGTGGGAGGTTTCTCTCATGTCCCCACATGAGAAGCTGGAGCTGACAAGTGGGAGCTCATCCCGCTCCCCAGATTCAAACCACTGACCTTTTGGTCATCAGTCCTGCCGGCACAAAGTTTTAACCCAGTGGTTCTCAACCTGTGGGTCAACAGGTGTTTTGGCCTACAACTCCCAGAAATCCCAGCCAGTTTACCAGCTGTTAGGATTTCTGGGAGTTGAAGGCCAAAACATCTGGGGACCCACAAGTTGAGAACCACTGTTTAACCCATTGTGCCACCAGGGGCTCCTTTTTATACTATGAACCCTTGCCATTCCCTGAGGTTTGGTTCTTGAACCCCTGTGCATACAAAATCGGTGCATGTTCAAGTCCCATTAGATACAAAGAGCAGTAAAATGATGTTCCCTTGTATAAAGCGGCAAAGGGTTGTTTTTGAGATTTTAAAAAATACTTGCAATCCGTGGATAATGGAATGCATGGATGCAGAATCTGTAAATATGGTAGGCCAGCCGAAACTTGAACCCATTTTTAGTCTCTGGAGCAGCTGAAAATAACCTTCTCTGTCTTCTACAAGACATCTCTTTAGATATTTAAAGATTGCTATCATGTCACATCTCAGTCTTCACGTCTCCTCTTCTCAGATATCTGACACATGCAATACACAAGACACTTAAAGAACAGAATGTGCCATTTTTTCTGACCTTTTCTGTAGAAGGCATGAAAAATGAAAGGATGTGAAACATTCCTGTGCAAAAATGAAATTGCTGTTACCCAGGAACCGTTGAACAGGTGAAAGGGGAACTCATAAAAGAGAAGTCAAAATTGGTGTGGTTCTTCTCAGTGTAGGGAAATTGTCTTGCAATACTTTGTGAAAAGTGAATTACAAAATACTCGTAACAGTCAGATTTTTTATTTTAAATAAACCTGGCAAAACCATCAAATAAGTTTCCATTCCTAAATATTTTTATCACTGCTAAAGAATGTGTGTGTGTTTGAAATAAATATATAGGTCATCACAACAGCATCCACATTTTCCCCAGCCAAGTACAAAGGAGAACGCACATAGCCAGGTGATGAAAACTGAGAAACACTGTCTTTTATCTGCCTATACGTGGAGAATAAAGGAAATTTCAGCCCAAAACTCCCTTCCACTAAAATTACTGCTTGGTAATTCCCTTCCACGTAGTGCCTAACACTATAATGAAAGTGAAGAAAATGCAGGCAGGTTGGAGATTTCTTTGAGTTCTCACCAGCACTCATGTAGAGAAGGCAAGGGCATCTAAAACAAGGCTTTTTGTTGTTGTTGTCATTAGTGTGTGTCTTCAAGTAATGTCCAGCTTATGGTAACTATTATGAGTTTTAATTGGCAAGATTTTTACAGATGGGGCTTCCTTTTGCTTTCCTCCAAGGTTGAGAGCGGTGACGTGTCCAAGGTCTCTCAGTGGGTTTCCATGGCTGAATAGAAATTCAATGCCTGGTCTCCAGAGCCATTGCCCAACACTCAAACCATTACAGTTATGAAGTAGTAACAAAAATAATTTTATGATTGGGGGCCACCACAACATGAGGAACTGTATTAAGGGGTTGCGGCATTAGGAAGGTTGAGAACCACTGTTGTAGACACTATAAACTGAGAGCTGTATCTGTGATTATTCAAGTATTTTAATGTGACTGAGAGCCAACCTGGTTTAGTAGTTTGAGTATTGGACTATAACTCTAAAGACCAGGCTTCAATTCTCTGCATAGCCAAAGAAACCCATTGGGTATCCTTGAGCAAGTCACACATTCTGAGAGTTAGGAAAGCCCAAGACACATCTTATAGTTGCCATAAGTCAGAAACAGCTTGAAGGCACACAACAAAAACAAATTATAAAGTAGTTTAGTCTTGAATGGGATATTATAATCTCTTAGCTTTACAAAAGATCTGGGAAAATACCTACTGGTTCACAGATATGGGTTGACAAAGTTGCCTGAATTTTTAGACCCTTCTTACTCCACCATAGCTCACCACATACCAAAAAGAAAGGTACTTTCCAGTTTAAATTTCCACATTGGCATTGCATAAGTGCCATTTCAGTTCAAATTCCTGCAATAGTAAGGCAAATATACCGTTATTCTATGACAGAGGGCAGCATGCGTGTGTGTGTATTCGTTGTTACAGACATAGTTACAAATTTGTAATTACATCACATCTCCAGACTTGACTCTCCAAACCTACTTTAACAGCGAGAAGCTGCATCAAAGTGATGGACGTATGTTCTGCTGGCAATTGGGATGCATCAGACTAACATTTCTAGTCCCCTACTACCATTGATCTTCAGTGGAATGAGGAATTGTCACAAAGATCCTGATTCCAATTGGTGGGAATGGACTGGAAATGTCATTATGTTACACTCTTATGATCAGCATAATAGAGCTCAGTCACTTGATGCCATTGCTGGCTCTTAAGGAACAGGGAGGCATTTGTGGGGCAATAGTGAATACAGAGCATGGCTGAATACAGAGCAATGTAGGATGGAAGATTTGTTTCAACCCAACCTTCCACTGCTGGGGCAGAGTGGTACGTAAAGCCAAATATTTATGAAGCAATTCCCCTCTGCATATAAGTGAGATTGAACGTATGCGGTTTAATTCTGCTTGTCTTCACAGATCCACGGCAAGATATTGCCTTTAGCTTCGAAAGTTGTACCAGTACTGCACCCCAAAAGACTAACATTAGAATCGGAACTGTTTTAAGTAAGTATAAAATATTATAATTTACTGTCCTGAACTAAGAAATGTCTTTATAAATGAGAAACACAAAGTTTTCTGCCTAGGAAAGGAGGTGGTAGCCTCTACAGGACAATGGTCTCACGATCTCAAGATGATATATATTTCTATTACTAATGGAACTGGAATTTATTACCTTGGTTTGACTGACCTTTGTTTATTAGAGCTCATTTACACTGTAGAATTAATGTAGTTTGATACCACTTTAACTGCCATGGTGCAATACTATGCAATCCTGAGATTTGTAGTTTGGACTTCATTCTGGAATAGGATTTAGACAGGTACTTTTGATCCAAAATTTGTTATCCAACTTGCATCTCAAGTTAGCTTGTCTCTGCTGGATGTTTGTAACTGGTTCACACATTATGTTCATTGCTCACTGATTGAATTATTGCAAAGGACTGCCAGACACCTGAGGGGGTCTGTTTAATATTAAGGAATAAACTAAAAGATTTCTACCAGGGGTGTTCCTAATAAAATGTAATCATAAGGGAGATCAGAAAAGAGTTCTCCAGAGCAACTCTGAGATTTGCACAGAGTATTGACTAACATTCCCTGTGGCAGCCCTTAAACCTGCCTCAACCTTTTCAAGTCTTCCAGTCTTCTGTGAGTCAAATAATACAATCAACTTAGCACACATTTGGGAAAGAAACCACTTGAAGTGATGAAATATGCCTACTTCTCACAGCACATGATTTTCTCCACCTGCATTTGTCATAGTTTGTTCTGTGCTTGGTCCCTAGAAGGTAAACATCGATTTAATTTGCACAGCTTTCCTGTTGCTCGAAGAAAAACACAAAAGAAGGGAAATCACATTAAAGCTAAGTTGTACCTCAGCCCTGCAAAAAGGTTTCCAAAATGAGGCAGGTTTCAGAACAATTGTGGTATTGCTTGCAAAGAGCATTTACATTGAAATAAAGATGCCGATCATAAGATCACATGTTATCACAATTCCATTGCTAAAACGGTGTGCTAAATGAGTGGCCACAGACCTCTGTCAGAAATGAAATGAAACCCAATCCAAATTGTCAATCCAGTTGTAATTGTGATAGGAATCTCCCCTATTCTGGAAAGAACACCAAGATGAAGGGTACCACCCCCCCCCCCCACACACACACAAACACACAATATGCTAGGTCTGAAATCTTTATCAGTCCTATCAGTGTAAATGAATTATGGGAGCTGCAATCCAGGCACATCTGGAGGGGTACAGTTTCCCATCCTGATGTAAAAGCATGTGTCAAGGTCAGATGATTGTTGGAGCAACTTGGTCTAAGTGTGAGGTTTGCTGTCCTTGGTCCTGACTTCCCGTGACCTTGATGAGCACTTAACTATAACGACCCCCTAGCTATACCTTGGAATGTGAGGAGAACTTTTAGAAGTCACTCAGACTAGATTAACAAGACTAGATTGTCAAGACCCTGTTGGGATCAAGTAAGCTCCATTGAATGATGAGCAGAGGAAGCCAGGTCACCTCTCTTGAGTCGTCTGAGTTCCCCTTATGTCCTGCTCCAAACCTTCTACTCCAGGGCCACTGTATATTTTGAAATTAATTTGGGTTGTTTAGGTTTGCTGAATTCAATCCATTTTATTCGCCAGTCTGCACAGAGTAAGCCCCATCTCTTTATTTTAAGTGTCTTGTGGCACAGAGTACTGTGGATATTTAGATGTAACTTAATCCAAAATGTATGAGATTGTCACCTAAATTGATGGGGCACAGGATGTTACTATTCCTTGTATTTAGGAATAAGTAGTAGCATAAAGCAAGTTATGTAAAGAGAGTGGGTTTCACATTCTATTCAAAGAAAAATGAGCATTGTGATCATGCCTTGTTATCCATGTGTCTCATTAGATTCATATTATGTCTACACTACAGGGTATCCCATCAGGGAACTGTCTGCAGTTGTAAGTCTCGATATTAATGGGAAGCAAGTCCCAGTTTATTCCACTACAATTTGTGAGCGGGATCGCCCACGGTTTAGTTTCTGTGGAAAGAACAAAGGAGGTAATTAATTTTTCATACCCAATTTGCTGAGAATACAGTGGCTAATAGGTGGCATAAGCAGAAAGAACATACAGTTCCAGGTGAACCTATAAGACTGAGTCTAACTGAATAATTCTGTTTATTTTAACAGAGTGAGCCAGACTCATTGCTATCTCAGAATCTGTTTTCCATGAAATCTTGCACTGAAATTCTCTTGCTGCCAAGTCAAGGCATGGTATAGAGCCATGAGGTTGTTAGATGCTAAGCAGATGCCAGGAAATGCTTGTTGCCTTGGTTCCATCATGAAGGAAGTCCCATGATGTTGGTTGCAGAGGGAATCTGAAGCTAGGAAAGGAGGTGAAATGGAGTAACCTGGAAGAGAGCATGCCTGGAGCCCTGTACAGAAACATTCCACACTGTAACTTTTTGTTGTAGGTTCCCCTTTTGAATTCTATTTGTAATGTAATGATTTCTTTCAGCACTACCAACATTTTTCATGTTGTACAAGTACTTACTTGCTTAGGCGATCCCTTGTAGCCCGAGGATGATGGTCCTCCAAGTGTAGGGTCTTGGCAGTGTGTTCGTAGGTGGCTGTGGAGCTCTATTCTTGATTCACAGTGAGAACATCAGTTTCCAGGTGGAAGGCTGTTCCAATCAGGGTTGGCTTGATGCGCCTTCCTCTTGGCACATTTCTCCCTCCCGCCCTCCATTCCTGCCTCTTCGAATTTTGTAGCACTGCTGCTCACAGCTGACCTTCAGTTAGAGCGCCCAAGGGCCAGGGATTCCCAGTTCTCAGTGTCTATGCCACAGTTTTTAAAGTTAGCTTTGAGCCCATCTTTTCCTGTCCAACATTTCATTTTCCATTATTGAGTTGGGAATATAGTAACTGCTTTGGGAGATGATGATTGGGCATTCAGGACAATATGGCCAGTCCAGTATCATTTCCATGCTGGTGGTCTTTGCTTCTTCCAGCATTCTGACATTTGGCTGCCTATCTTCCCAAGAGATTTTCAGGATTTTTTAGAGGCAACACTGATGGAATCATTCCAGGTGTTGAGTGTGACGTCTCTAGACAGTCCACGTTTCGCAGCTATATAGCAGGGTTAGGAGGACAATAGCTTTATAAACCAACACATTGGTCTCCCTATGGATGTCCTGATCCTTAAACACTATCTGCTTCATTCAGAAAAATGTTGCACTCTCAGAGCTCAAGCAGTGTTGTATTTCAGTGTTGACTTTTGTGGAGAGGTGGCTGCCAAGGTAGTGGAAATGGTCAACATTTTCTAATGTTACACCATTAAGCTGTATTTCTAGCATTGCAGAGAGATTGTACAAGTTACAGCAATGGATAGTGCTTCTCCAGGAACAATTCATGAAGTAGAAGGAGAAAACAACGGGGATCAGATAGTCCATTTGGTTGACTATATTTATTTAAGAGATCATTGAATGTCAATGTTGCTTAAAGGGTTACAACAGTAATCTACTCCAACCTCTGCCATGGAGGAATATATAACTACAGCCCTCCTGAAAGATGCCCATCCAACCTCTATTTAAAGATGGCTATCATGGCATTTGTCAGTCTTCTCCACACTAAGCCTACCCAACTCCTTAAATAATTCCTCATAGGGTATAGCTTTCTGACCTTTGAGCATCTTGTCCATCCATAGATAGATAGGGACTTGTAGTTGCTGGGATTTATAGTTCACCTACAATTGAATAGCATGATAGAATTGAACCAACCGGGACATGCAGGACTCCCATGACCAACAGAAAATACTAGCAGGGTTTGGTGAGCATTGACCTTGAGTTTGGGAGTTGTAGTTCACCTACATCCAGAGACTACCATGGACTCAAACAATGATGGATCTGGACCACACTTTGCACGAATATTCCATATGCTCAAATATGAACACAGATGGAGTTTGGGGGAAATAGACCTTGATATTTGGGAGTTGTAGTTACTGGGATTTATAGTTCACCTACAATCAAAGAGCGTTCTGAACCCCACCAACGACAGAATTGGGCCAAACTTCCCACACAGAACCCCCATGACCAACAGAAAATACTTAAGGCCATCCAGTCCAACTCCCTTCACCAGGGCAAGAAAACGTAATGAAAGCCCTCCTGACAAAGAGCCATCCAGCCATAGATATAGATAGATATGATTCACACACACACAGATATAGTATCATAGATTTGAAAGGGACCCCTAAAGAAGGACAATTATATGTTGCATGTTCCAGAGTAGGCAAACCAGACACTCTCCACATCAACACCGACAAAGAAACAGCAAGAAATACTGTTTACCCACAAGCATAAAGAAATTACATATATTAGAAACCAACACTTTCTCATTACTTCTATTTTCCAGATCAACAGACTGGGCCACAGCAACGCGTGGCAGGGGACAGCTAGTAGATTAATAAAAAGCCTCTTCCATGGAAACCTAGCTTAATTACAAAATATTTACCTAGATAGAAAGGTCTTGTCTGCTGAAAGAAGGGCAACAGAGACACATACTAATCTAGCCTTTATAGGGCATTCCATTGCTTGATTAAAGTAGTAAAGATAGAGCAAGTTAACTGGGTGTATTTTGGACTCCCGTGGCTGAAAGCTACTGGAGCCAAGGAACAGCTTGGCTGGGAAAAGGTCTTTAAGGACTAATAATTGAGGCAGTCAGAACACGTTACTATTTGCTGGAGCATCTCATAGCATTGATTGCTGTGCAACCATCTGCTGACAGGGCCAGTTCAGTTTCTCACACATCTGCACACGCGGAGAGCACGCAACAAATGAGAAACAACCGTGCAGTGATAGCTCATTCAGGTAATCATGCGCAAAGCCCCCTTTAGTGCTTTCTCTGAGGCAGCAGCATCTCAATCAGAAATATAATAAATACAGGGCAGTGAATTTCATGACCATGCAACAATTTTTCTACTATGATGGACTCAGAGGAATTGGTAGCATTTTCCCGATCTAAACACAGCAAGCAATATCACATGGAATAATAGACAAATACGACATGAGCAAGCAATCATGAAAATTATGGAAGACAGACTGATGGAAAAATTAAATTCTAAGACACCTACAGATCGCCTGGAATGTCATCTTATTCTGATGAAGTGCTTAATAAGGACCTGTAGAAAATGCATTTAGAGAGCTCTGGATTCCATTGCAAGCCGAACACAAACTGCTGCTTACATATCAAATCAGAAAACCAAATCCTTCTGGGAGCGCGCGGGTCTTTAATCTTAGGAAGGCAGGAAAATTGTTTTCTCTAACTGAAGTATATTATGACATAAAGCCAGGGCTGATTGCGTTAGAAAATGCCATATATCTTTGTCTGTAGACACGGCTGTCAAAAGCCAATAAACCCTTACAGTACTGCTGGGCTTTGAACAGGTACTTATCCCACTGACACAACTCTGGGGACGCAGCAGTGGTATTTACAGTGTATAAATTTTAATATTTCTGTTATGGGTTTATTTGCTGTGCATGCCGTTTTGTTGTCATTGTGCCTTCAGGTCATTTCTGATGAACCTCATCATGATGTTCCTTGGTAAGGTTAGTTACAAGGGGGTTTGCCATTGCCTTCCTCTGAGGCTGAGAAAGTGTGATTTGTCCAAGGTCACCCAGTGGGTTTCCAAGGTCTATCAGGGATTCAAACCATAGTCTCCCAGAATGCTAGCACAGAGCCTCCAGTGGCACAGCTGAACTTGCTGACTGAAAGGTCAGTGGTTTGAATCCAGGGAGAGGGGTGAGCTCCTGCAGTTAGCCTCAGCTTCTGCCAACCCAGCAGTTTGAAAACATGCAAATGTGAGTAGATCAATAAGTATAGCTTCAGCAGGAAGGTAACAATGCTCCTTGCAGTCATGCCTGCCACATGATCTTGGAAGTGTCCATGGACAGTATAGAAATAGAGATGAGCACCAACCCCCAGAGTCGGACACGACTAGACTTAATGTCAAGGAAAACCTTTACCTTTACCTACTATACTGGCTCTCATCATTTTACACTGTGAATTAGTTTGTTTATTAAACTTCAGAAAATTAGATGGTTTATTAGGTTTTTATGACTGCCTCATAAAAAGGAAAGTGGAGAAGAAGGAATGCAACAACACCTTTATGGCTGCCTTGTTTATTTTAACATGAGCTTTTCTGGATTTTTGATCTACTTTATCAGTTTGTGTAATTGACAAAAATACATGAGACCTGTGCTAAAACACCCATTTTTAGTATCTGGGAAGGGGTTTTATTGTTGGTTGTTTTTCCCTGTGCATCAGAAATGTCAACTTTAGCTATGGATATTATGCATGGAGAATACTACTGGATAATAGAAACAGTTTCTGCCTTACCAAGCTTTCTTATTTACTACTTGATCCATTTGATTTGCAGAATTTATCTACTATGAAGGGCCTGCCTCTATAGGATTCGATGAAATCCCCCAGGTAGGTATTTTCTAGTTTGGTTTCTGAAATACAAAGTCTGAACAGAAAAGTCAACCAGCCAGTTGTAGGCCAGAGGAAATATACCCCACAAGTATAACACTTGCAAGAGGGGTGTCGTTATCATAATATTATCAAGTAAACCACCTTCATAATTGTAATTAGTAATACCTGACACTCCTGAAACTAGTGTGATTTTGTGTTTCCCACTGCTCATCCTAAGTCTTATGTATAAAATAGCAAACTCAGGCGGTGGGAATTCCAGCAGAATTGGAGCCAAAAGAGAGTCAATGAAAAGCAAAAGGGTACATGCTTTCCCCATAATGTAGACAAATTACTATTGAGGGTGGGAATATAGCTCCCAGGATTTCCCATCCAGGCTGGAAATAGTTTAAAATGCAAACCTTTACTCAGTTGCTATCCCATTGAGGTTCCACTAAACTTCTGTTTTAGATTAAGTAGGATTTGGCTACACATCAGAATTTCATAGCTCTCAGTAGTTTGCAGGGCAACATCCTGGGAAAAGAGAAAGGGAAGAACCATCCAATAATAATAATAATAATAATAATAATAATAATAATAATAACAACAACAACAACAACAACAACAACAACTTTATTTGTATTCTGCCCTATCTCCCCAGGGGAACTCAGGGTGGATTCCAACATGCAATGCCTCCATAAAGCAAACGGGTACAAATATAATAACCCCAGAAAAACCCCACATATAAAGACAACATTAGAACCTAACATCACGAAATTAAACCAATTATAATCAAACAAAAATTATACAACGATGTAAAATCTGAGCGTAAAATATTCAAATTAATTTACAAAAGAAATTAATGTAAAATATTTATTTAATAGTGTCCTTCTATTGAAATACCCATTTAATCAGCCCATGAACTACGTGTGGTCTCAAAGGACCTTATCACATGGGAGAAGCGTTGCCCAACTGGGGCAGAAATGTGTCTTCCCATGTTGTCCTAGGATGCTTCCACTCTGGTTGGTGGGCGGGGCTTCCACCAGAAGTTGAGGGACGTCGTGTGATGAGCTGCATGCCCACTCGTCCCTCAGTTGACTGTCAAACATCATAGGATGCTTAAGTTAGTGTGATGAGGTCCAAAGTCTTGGGAATTTGTGGATGTATCTAGGAATTGAGGTTTTATGCTAGATCATGGCTTACTCTTCCCCTCCCCAGCCCAAATGAAATCAAAAATAGACAATTTGCAATTTTTTAAAATATTGTGATCCATAATGAATTCCAGCTAAATCGCTGGCACTCCAGATTTGAATGTAAACAGTAATCCTGTGGCACCCACAGTCCAGCCCATACAAAAATTACCTGAGACATTTTAATGTATATGGCAAAAAACAGTATATTTGCCCTGGTTCCTGAATTGGAGACTCAACTTTATGTTAATGGGACAGAGTTTTGGGACATCTCCCCTAAGGAATGGAGAAGATGGTGTGGTACTTATAGCAATTTCTCTTTTTGAAAAAGGTAGAGTGGAGGAGGGTATCAAAAGAAATGGTTGGGAATTGTCCCCATTGTCCCTAGCATCTGCTACCTGAGGCAGCTGCCTCACTTTTCTTAGTTCACCGTTGCCATATATTTTTCAGGGAAAACAAAGGCAGAAGAATTGTCATGGTAATCTTCATTTGTGAGAAAGTAACTATCTTTAGCAATCTTCTAATTTAATACTTTGGATTTTTTCCCCTCTCAAACAGGGAGACTTTAATGCAAAGGTGGAGCTATTTAATGAGGACCATCACATTATTATCTGCGCTGATTTTATTGTCAAGAGTCACAATCAGGAATTACTGTCTTAATGCTGTCAAAAGGAAAAGAATCTAAAAACAGCATAAGTTAGAGAAACAAGGTTTAAACACTCTACAATCTGCAATCCTTATCCAATTATGTAAAACAATAGAAAATAGAGATTTGAGTGAAATGTCTCCTTATGTTCTGTTGCTTTTAAAGAAGTTGCGAGATCCCAGTGTGTTAATTAAATTTATTTCACTGGACTCACTAGCACTCTAGTCTTTTTTATTTTACTTGGGGGGGGGGGGTTGATCATGATGGGCAGGGAGTGGCAGCACATTGTTTTCTTATTGAAAAATACCTTGCATGTTAAGTCTTCTTTTATAAARCCCCCCCCCCTCCCAAATCAGGTTTTCTTCAAACACCTCCTTTCCAAACATTAAAAATAGAGATTTTTCTACATCTCTTGCTGCCTGAACACATTAAAACTTATTTGATATTGGAAATTAAATAGGARTTTGCCGTTGCTTTGCATTTTAAATTAATTCTGATTTATGGTGATCTATCACAGGACTTGCTTGGCAAGTTTTATTTGGAAGACATTTTGGGAAGTATAACATATTATCACTTCTAATTAATGTAGTATGTCCCTGAAATAAAAAGTATTTCTCCCTGGTGTTAATGAAATAAATTCCTAGAAAATCTTTAGCTAGCGGCCTTATCTTGTTTACCTTGTTTTCCTTTCCTCATGAAATCTCCCAACTCTCTAGCCCTGTGGTTCCCAACCTGTGGGTCCCCAGATGTTTTGGCCTTCAACTCCCAGAAATCCTAACCGCTGGTAAACTGGCTGGGATTTCTGGAAGCTGTAGGCCAACACACCAGATTGAGAACCACTACTCTTACTTGCTAAGCACGATCCTTTGCCAGCTCACATTTCTATGACTATATCAGCAAATCATAATAAACCAAAAATAATACTAGAAATGTGTGTTCCTCAGTGTGCATATATGTTCGTGTGCGTGCTCTTCTTAAGGACTGGGATCAGATCCTGGGATATAGGCCTGTCTGGAAGGGCTCAGAGTCACACTGTATGAACCACTTCAAAATGTACAATTACACTCCTGCTAATAAGAGACTCAGACTAAGGAACTGAGCTAATGACTGGAAATGAATGCACTATACAACACTAGATGGCAAACCACCAATCAACACATTCAGTCTGGAATACAGAAGGAATATGTGTGCACGGGAGAAGAGTCAGTTGTGCAACTTGGACACCTTCTGTCAGCTATTGACTTCCTATCAGCCAATGCCCCATTCCCTCATTCCGTTTCTCACAAATTGTGAGTTGGCTCACCTTGTTCTGACATCCCATTTCCAACTCATGTGTGCACATCATTCCTTGGCTACTTTGCAAATCCTGCTTGTACAGACCACCCCGTTCTACACTGCATGGTCTTTCAGTAAGGTCATGGTAATTAGATGTGGCATAGTGGAAGATCATAAAACATAGATTCATATTATCTCCATGCAATCACAAATGGACAAGCTTCTTTTTCCTTTTCTTTTCTTTTCTTTTCTTTTTTTTTTGCAAGGGTGCTCACCCGAGTGATGAAAAACATCTCTTTGTCATATCCTGTAATTTCTCTCACCTATGTATGTTGTATTTTGCATGCATTGTTTTGCATTATCAGACAAGACACGGCTTCCCCCCTTCTCCTTGTCTTACAACTGGTGCAAACCGAGTACAAAATGTGAAGTAGTTTCACTCGGGACCCTTTCACACAGCCACATAACCCAGAATATCAAGGCAGAATAACCCACAATATCTGCTTTGAACTGGATTATCTGAGTCCACACTGCCATATATTCCAGTTCAAAGCAGAAAATATGAGATTTTATTCAGTTGTGTGGAAGGGGCCTTACTTAATAGCAGAAGTGGGTGAAGAAGCCTGTCCTTCCCAGTTACCTCAGGCAAAATCAAACCTTTCCAGCCTCTCCTAGCTTGTTTGCTTTTCCTTATTAATAACTTTTTGCCATCTTGACCACCCTCTGATGTTGCTTGTCTGAATGTCATCCAGTTTTTATCTGCAAAGTGTTGGAGGGCATGTAGATGTAAGTTCGACTATGTGAAAATTAGGCCTAGGTGAAGGGAAGACTCAGGAATTTGCAGAAAGATAGCAACGAGTAATGGTGGGTTAAACAGCCCTCTCTCATGTGGATCCTCACCTTAAAATGCACCCTGCCCACTACATTTACATGATCTTGGCAGACGTGGGTGTGCGACTGCATACTTGCCACAGTAACATGAAGTTCCATCCCAATTTAGATTTCCCTTAACAATGATTGCATCTGTGTCCCTAAAATAGACGTACAATATGAAACACAGCTAAGTGGAGCAACTTAACAGATCCTTGGTGTAAGAACATCCTCTGGTGTCACGCAGCTCCAGAGAAGAAGAGAGGTTCATTTATAGAAACGAGCATCTTCGATTGTGCCCATCAAACCTTGCTATTTTCAAGAGATGGATGCAGTGAGCTTTTACTGGTCATGCTATCGGTATTTTGCTCAAAGACTTTCTTGGAATATCTCTTTAGGTTAGAAACAAGTTTGAGGGTGTTTTTTTTTTAATTCAAAAACTGTTAGCTGTCATCAAAGGGAGTCTTTAGTTTCCAGGACTGGAAGAAAGAGCTTTCATTTTTTAACAACTTTATGTTAAAAAATTATTGGCTTCTGGGGTCAAGTCTCTACAGCTTCCAATCTTTGACAACTCTGTAGTCAATGTCTGTTGGAAGTTGATTGTAGAATTGTGCTGGAGGGCCTAGAGATTTCTAGAGTGAACACATCTGGTGGAAGTTGACCGTAGAGTCACACTGGAGGGCCAGAAGATTCCTAGAGGAGGGGTGTGTGTATTATTTTAATTTTGTGACTTTTCCACCTTTGTGGGAATCTCATGTCCTTAACCCCCGCAAAAGTAGAGAGCCTACTGTATTATGTCTTTTTAAAAAATTGTGAGGCTGGTTGCTGCAATGATTATTAAAACAGTGGAAAATAAATGCCCAGATGAATGAAACGTTCCGTTTCTAGCAGTATCTAGCCAAACATCTCTACAAGGAATTTTATATGCCCCTTTTTCCTGTAGGTAAAGGTAAATGTTATCACCTGACATTAAGTCCAGTCATATCTGACTCTGGGGGTTGGTGCTCATCTCCATTTCTAAGCCGAAGAGTCGACGTTATCCATAGACACCTCCAAGATCATGTGGCCGGCATGACTGCATGGAGTGCTGTTACCATGAATGTTTTTTTTTCCTGAGCATTCACCCATTCAAAGTGACAAGATTTTTTTTCCTGAGCATTCACTAAATAAGACTGTAACTTCTTTGTTTATTTGATATCCCAATGGATAGCATTGAGAAACCCCAATTATTGGTTTTCCAGCAGCCCCTCCTAAATTGGAAAAGTGATATTACAGAATACAAGTCGCCTGCGGGCTGATATGGGCAGGATATAAGTGATGTAAATAAATAAATAAATAAATACAATGCAGAAAGAAGGTAGTATTGGACAGGGAAAAAATGCACTCATATTCTAAATAGAAATATGGACCAAGATGGAAGACGTGTGTATCATGTAACAATGTCTCTCTATGCTAGCCTTTTTCTGAGGCTGAGAGAGTATGACTTGCCCAAAGTCACTCAGTGGGGTTCCATAGTTGAGAAAAGATTCAAACCCTGATCTTCAGAGTTGTAACCCAACACCCAAACCACTGTGCCATACTGTCTCTCAAGTCTCATCTACATCATCATAAGTGCCAATGGAATGCCAGCAGGGATATAAAATATGGTAATGAGCCTGTGCACAGCATGCCTTCTTCCGGATATGTAAGGGAATCCTGTCTTCCATTTGTGCACCTGGCAGCAATGGTGGACCTAACAGTTCACAAAACCAGTTGCCTGTCCTTTGTGGGCAAGATAAGAAGCATTTGTTTGACTTGCTGAAGATCTAAAAGTATTTGATTGTTTGTTGAAGACCTAAGCAATAATAAAGAACTTTGTTAAACTTTTTAAGCTCCTAAAGACCTTTTGTATAGGAAAATCCTTAGAGCCTCTCAGCTGAGGCACCCCGGCTTCCTGCTGGGCACAAAGAGCATGTCCTGTTCAAAAGCCAATTGCTATAGGCTCAGCGCGCGACAAGGATCATGTAATAGAGAAATCCCTAATTTCCAGGTTAGCAGGTGTGAATTCCACACATTAGTTCAGAAGTGGGAATGGTGTGACAAGTCTTTTTTTTTTTTTTTGCAACAATCAAAGTCCCCTGATCCTCCCATCCCAATTTCCAAAAGCATGTAGATGGCTAACATATGGAGAATCATATTCCAAAGATCTCTGGGAGGAGTGACTCTCCCACTAAATGACATACATCAAAACTATGGAAAAGAAGAACTGACCTCTAGGTCAATGAGGCCCATAGGGATCGTTGGAAGGGGTTAGAAAATGGTACAGATAGCAACCACCAAAATCTTAGGATAATAGTTAAAAGGCATTGTTCTTCATGATCCATGTTAATTTGTTTCTTGCCTGCACAACTGTAGTTAAAGCCACCCATTAGATGGCAGTGTTAATCTTGCCATAAGTCACATGGCCTTGAGGCAGCCATAATCTTTTGCTGTGAAGTCAGGTTTCATTTGGTTAAAATTCTGTTCAAAGGCTTCCCAATCTGCCACACAGAAGGAATAGAGGTAGTATGAACAATGCCACCATATTTTACAATAGCTGTATATTAGGCCTGGGTAACAACGGAAAAATTTGTTTCTAAAATCGATTTGTATTTGGGGGTTTTTTTTGTTTTGATATTTAAAATAATTACAAAATTTTCCTTTTAAAAAGTTCGATATTTACGAAATTTCGTAAATGGTAAAAAATTAACGAATCGATTTCCGAAACAATAACGAATCGATTCGTTAATGGCGGACGCGACCGCGAAATACGCTAAAAAACCTCCAAAAACTTCTGAAGCTTCCCTCTCCCTCTGTTGTTGACTGTTGGTGTGATATTATAATTTTTTTTCACTAATTAAACAAAAAACTTGCCCCAGACATGCGGAAATAATAACGAAACGACCTCAGAACAATAACGAAACGAATACAATAACGAAATACGAAGCATTTACAAAACGTGTTTAA